CACACAGAAAGAGAGAGAGAGAGAGAGAGACGCAGAGGGAGGAGCAGGCCCCATGCAGGGAGCCCAATGTGGGGCTCGATCCCAGGGCTCCAGGATCACATCCTGGGCTGAAGGCGGTGCTAAACCGCTGGGCCACCCTAGTCTTTCTTTTTATTTTTTTTAATTTTTTTGTCTTTCTTTTTAAATGTATCTTTATTAAACGTAAGAACTACTACCTTTCTTGGCCTGTCTGGGGAATCAAACCTAAGACGTTGGTGTTGTTAGGTCACATCCTACCCAACTGAGCTAACCAGCCACCCGGCCAGCCCTAGCTTTACTTTTATCCCAAATTCTAGAGGCCTGGGCTACAATTCTTCTTCTTCTTCTTTTTTTTTTTTTTTTACGATTCTTATTAAGACTTGGAAAAGGGGGGCAGCCCGGGTGGCTCAGTGGTTTAGCGCTGCCTTCAGCCCAGGGCCTGATCCTGGAGCCCTGGGATCGAGTCCCACGTCAGGCTCCCTGCGTGGAGCCTGCTTCTTCTCCCTCCGCCTGTGTCTCTGTCTCTCTGTTTCTCATGAGTAAATAAATAAAATCTTTAAAAAAAAAGAAAAAGACTTGGAAAAGGGGACACCTGGGTGGCTCAGTAGCTGAGTGTCTGCCTTCATCTCAGGGCAGGACCTGAGGTCCCCTTGCCTGTGTCTCTGCCTCTCTCTCTATGTCTCTCATGAACAAATAAATAAAATCTTAAAAAAAAAAAAGACTTAGGAAAGGCTCTGTGTGGCACCCTAATGGGGGATGCCACCTCCAGAAAGAGGCCAAGCACGCACTGTGCTTCTCTCCTAGTGGCAGTGGACCAGGTACAGCAGCTTGATTTTCTCTTTGGGGATCTTTTTCAATATGCCTCAGTCCACTGGATGCCCAGAAACCTCATGGGTCCCTGCATTTTCATGGGGCTCATCTGTCACCCTGTGAGGAAATATTTGCTCAGGTCCAGTCGGCACGATAACATTAATGTACTGCACCAGCAAGATGTCTTGGGAGACAGTGACATGATCAAGTCAGTCCCGGGGGACCTAATTACAATAATATGCCAGAGAATTGAAAGGACAGTTCCATGGGCTTCCTTTAAAAAAGAAGATTTTATATTTGTTTATTTCACAGAGAGAGACAGAGAGAGAGCACAAGCAGGGGGAGCGGCGGGCAGAGGGAGAAGGAGAACCAGGCTCCCTGCTGAGCAAGGACCCTGATGCAGGACTTGATCCCAAGACCCTGGGATCATAACCTGAGCCAAAGGGAGACACTGCAGCAACTCAGCCACACAGGCGTCCCCCAGGGGCTCCCTTTTGACTTTTCTCTCCATAATTGTCCCCAGCCCTTGAGGCAAAAAGCCCCTGTGGGAATTTTTCCAGCTGCTGATGCTGATTGTGTTTATTCCAATTCTGCAGTCAGGAACTGGGGGAAAAGCCACGGGAGGACCACAGTGAAAGGGACACAGATTGGTCTCCATTTCTGACCAGTCGGCCACAGTGGCATTCTGTGTCCCCAGGGAAAGAAGGATGAAGGTTTGCGGTATACACTGGTGTTATGTGTACCCCGCCTCATTTTTCACTTGAGGGCTGTGAGCTTGTGGGCTGGCTGGGTCTGGGGATGAGATGAGGGGCCGTGATTTTTCCCTTGTGGCAATTCAAGGCAGACTGCCGTTCACCAGACCTAGAGGTTTTGTTGTTGGGGTCATACAGATCGTGGTCTATTAGAGGTGGCCTATTATTAATAGGATGTCATGACCAGTTAGGCACCACCAAAGATCCTTAGGGATAAACCATTCTGGTTCCAGCTGCCAGTCCTGCTGCCTATCACGATACCCATCTTGTTGTATGAGACACAGTGTCACCACTTGGCCTCTGCTGCGCCAGGATCCTTGCTTCCATGGAAACACCTCTCACTGCATTTTCTAGTTTTCCAGAATCTTCAGCAAAGTGTGTCTCAATGTTTGGGTGAAAGGAATGCCCTTTGAGCTCTCTCAGGGGATGTAGTTAAGGGTTGAGCCAGTAGGTTGCACATGACAAGTCATTGCAACATTCCTACCTACCCAAGTCTTGGGATTGGAGAGAATGAGGGATGTGAGGGGTTAGGGCACAAGAAGAATTGGCATTCTCTTGCTCGGTAACTGACCAGGTGATTTCATTAGAAGATCTAAAAAACAAAAAACAACAACAACAACAACAAAAAAAAAACAGGCTCAGCCTCACCAGACAGGGGAGGAGGAGCTGCTTCTGCTGATAAGGGAATGTCTATGGGGTTTCTGGGTTCAGAAGACACAGATTCATTAAACCAAAATACTTATAGAGCATCTTGCAGCAGCTGGATGTATAGCAGTGAACAAAATAGACAAACACTTCCTGGCTTCATCAGGCTAACATTCCAGTGAGAAGAGACAGTAAAAAAAGGCTCATTTAAGGCAGAAAGAAGAGCAGGTGCAAAAGACCCGAGAAGGGGGAGTGTGCCTGGCGTAGTACTGAACAGTCAAGAGGCAGTGTGCCAGGAGTGGGTAAGGGCATGAGTGGAAGGAGATGGGCTCAGAGAGAGAACGGGTCGCCGTTGTCATAGACACTTTGGCTTTTACTCTTAGGGAGATGGTGTTTTGGTTTCCTAGGGCTGCCATCACAAATTGCCTCAGACTGGACAGCTTTATTTTTTATGAATATTTTATGTATTTATTCATGAGAGACATAGAGAGAGAGGCAGAGGCACAGGCAGAGGGAGAAGCAAGCTCCCTGCAGGGAGCCCGATGCAAGACTTGATCTTCGGACCCCAGGATCATGTCCCGGGCTGAAGGCAGATGGTCAACCTGGGAGCCGCCCAGGCATCTGAAACTGGACAGGTTTAAACAATAGAAATTCATTCTCTTATGGTTCTGGAGGTTTGAAGTCTGAAATCACTGCAATGTCTGCCCACATATTCACATGGATTTCTGTTTTGCTTGTGTTTTCTCTTCTCTTCTTTTTTTAAAGATTTTATTTTATTTTATTTTAAATATTTTATTTATTCAGGAGACACACACACACACACACAGAGAGAGAGAGAGAGAGAGGCAGAGACACAGGCAGAGGGAGAAGCAGGCTCCATGCAGGGAGCCCAATGTGGGACTAGGTCCCAGGTCTCCAGGATCATGCCCTGGGCTGAAGGTGGTGCTAAACTGCTGAGCCACCCGTGCTGCCCTCCCTTCTGTTCTAAGAACACTCATCATTGGATTTGGGATCCAGCTGAGTAATCCAGGATGATCCCATTTTGAGATTTTTAACCTAATCATACCTACAAAGACCTATTTTCCAAATAAGGTCACATTCACAGGGTCCTGGGGTTAGAATATACCTTTGGGAGGGTCACTTCATCTCACTACATTTGGGAGGTCATTAGGCTTTGAGCAGAGGAGGGACATGGCCTGACTTGTAGTTAAAAGGCACTTGTCAGCTGTTCTGTTGAGAAGACACTGTACTTGGGAACAGTAGAAGCAGGGGGACCTGTAAGAGGCCATTGGAGAAATACAATTGTGGCTTGGACTGTGGTGACAGCAGTGAGGGCGGTAAAAAGCATGAGATTCTGGACCTGTTTTAAAAGAATAGTTGGGAAAAAAATGCATAGCTGGGAGGTTTTGCTACCAGATTGGATGACGAACATTGGAGAAAGATGAAACCCACAGGAGAACCATCCATGAACATCTCAAAGTTACTCAGTGACATATTTACCAATGAAGCACTGTAAGGTAAGGGGAGAAGTAGTAACCCACTCGTGGATCGCTTGATCCTGGGCAGTTTGGTCATCTATAAAAAGTCAATTTGTGTCATGATTATGATCGCCGTGGGATGCACCTAAATAAATTCTAGAGAGAATGAGCAGTGAGGGAAAAGCAATCAGCTGTTTTTTAAGGCACAGTAAAATAAAAGTGCAGTTTCCAGTCTTACGGTAGAGGAGAAACGGAAGAAAAGCAGCAACTCATTCGAAAGAGAATGGCCAAAGGGCTCACTTCCAATTGCAGTAAGTTGCACAGAGATCAGGAGCGCACCCGGGTCAGACTGCGAAGCGCCGCGGCACAGACCGGAGAGTGGGCAGAGGAAGGGGAGACGCTCGGCCGGAGGCGCTGCTTCCTGCTGTCGGATCCGCGCAGCCTCTCAGCGGCCGTGACTGTGGAGCCAGCGACGTGCAGCCGCGTCCTGCAGCCCGAACGGCTTCAGGTGGAAAACACACACTGGGGAGCCTAAGTGCGAAAAAGATGTCTAAACATTTTTTTAAGATTTTCCTTATTCATTCATGAGAGATATGGAGAGGCAGAGACCCGGGCAGAGGGAGAAGCGGGCTGCACGCAGGGAGCCCGACGTGGGACTCGAACCTGGGACCCCGGGGTCACGGTCTGGGCCGAAGGCAGATGCTCAACCGCGGAGCCCCCCGGACGCCACTCAAATATTTCTTTCATAAAGTGTGTCTCTGATATGTTGAAATGATATCATTTCGGATCACCAGGTTAAACAGAATTCGTTATTAAATGAGTTTCACCTTTTTTCTTTTTTTGGTCGTGCGGCCGCTGGAGGCTTTAAAAGCGCCCGAGCGGCTCGCACTGTCCCTCCATTGGCCAGCAGCGCCCTAGCTGCGCGGGCTGCAGGCAGCAAAGGGCTTTCCACGTCTCTGTGCCTCAGCGTCCGCGTGTCCACTCAGCCGACGCGCCGCCAACGTAAAGGGGTCGGCGAGGGGACGCCGGCAGCCGCTGTCACCCGTCCGCCGCGGCCCCGGCGGGGGTCAGGGACCCACGGCCCGGGCCACGCCCACAGGCCAGGGGCCGCCTGCGCATGCGCGTCCCGGCCGGGCGGGTCCCCAGGCGCACGCGCGAACACCGCCCGCAGGGGGGCCACAGCAGCCAATGAGGTTCCGCGGGCGGCCCGCGCGCCTGGGGCTCGGCTCCCGGAGCCCGGCCCCGCCCCCCGGGCCGCGGCGCACTACGCAGCGGGCGTCGCACAGGTGGGCGGGTCCAGGCGGCGCGGCCTGACGGCGGCGGGAGTCCGCGCGCTCACTCGCTGCTGGCGCACGCGGCTCGCGCTGTGCGGGGCAACATGGCGGACGCGGAAGGTAGCGGTCGCGCGGTGTGGGTGGCCGGGTGGGCTGCGAGGGCGACGGCGTCGGGGCCGAGGCGGGCGCTGCCTTCCGCCAGGCCGCCCCCGTGGCAGCCGCGGCCTCCGGGCTGGCCTCGCCTCTGGAGACGGCTCGCCGGGCGACGGCGGAGGGCTGGGGGGGTCCTCCCAGTGGCGTGGCTGCGCGAGGCCCGAGCCTCCCGCCGATGGCACTGTCTCCCCAAGGCCCGGACCCCGTCACCGGCGTGGGCCGAGCCGGCGGCCCCCCGCGACGGGAGACCTGGCAGGACGTGTCCCGCCGCCTGTCCGGGCGCTTCGGCCAGCGCCACGCAGAAAGGCCGGAGGAGCGGGCGGGGAAGCAGAGGGTCGAGGGGCCCCGGCTTGCGCCCAGCTCCAGGTGGCAAGAAAGTTCTGTGGGCCGCACGCAGCGGAGGGGACCCTTGAGTGGCCGCTTAGGAACTTTCTGGCCCGTGGGGCGAGCACTTGGGCGGCAGGTTTAAGCACGGCCACGTGGTGAACCGTACTGGGAGTCGACATGTGCGACTGCTGCCGGTTGGCTGCGGAGCCTTGCGCCCACGCGCTCGGCCGTACACACCTCGTGGGCCCCAGCCATCGTGGGCCCCACGTCCATTTTCCGCTTGTTCCTCTTCCATCCTCTATTTTAGGCTTCATTGTCCTTATTTTCGGGGAAAACTCCCAAACCTCTTGTCTCTTGTAGTATTAATTTTGCCGAAGAAACATAAGAAGAAAAAGGAGCGGAAGTCCTTACCAGAAGAAGATGTAGCGGTGAGTGGGAATATGTTTTACTTTGGACTAAACGGAAAGGTTAGGGAGGGAGCACGTACGTAGCAACTGTTTTTAAAAGTCTCTGATGAATGAGTCAGAGTCGGGTAGTGGTTGTGTAGGGACAACACAACGCCAGCCTCCTAAATCTCTCTTGTCCAGGGCAGTTTCCTAAATGGTGTTGCGCACACCAGCTGCTCTCCCTGAAATTTTTTCTTATGACACCCACAGACCCACTATCCCTCTTTCTAAGTTACTGTTCCCATCTTCTTTCTGTAAAATTTTATTTCTGAAAACAGAGAGTGCTCATGAGCACAAGGATGGGCAAAAGGAGAGAGGGAGAGAATCTCAGACACAGCGTAGCACCAGACACAGGACTCCATCTCAGCACCCTGAGATCATGACCTCAGCCCAAATCAAGGGTCACACGCTTAACGGAGCTGCCACCCAGATGCCCCTACATGTCCCCATCTTGGGGGCACTTCACTTACCCTTCTGAGATCCTGGTTCAGTTCTTTTTCACTTGGGAGGTCCCAGTGAGGAGGCATGGAGATTACCGGCTATTTTATTTAAGAGGCTTAGACTAACAGGGTAGTAACAGAATTATTCAAAATCAGGGGACAAGTCTGACATTGTGTTTCTGTCCTGTTTAAGGAGATACAACATGCTGAGGAATTTCTTATCAAACCTGAATCCAAAGTGGCTCAGTTGGACACATCTCAATGGCCCCTGTTGCTCAAGGTATGTGGTTGAGATTATATGTCTGATCAGTGCCTGACTTTTAAGTTATTTAAGTATTCCGCAGTTCATTAAGAGTAATTAGCACTAGCATCTTTCAGGAAGTGCCAGATGATACAGTCTAAAGCAGTATTTCTCACGGCGTCTCACATGAAGGACCAGGTTTTTTTTCATTTCCAGTGCACACAGTGCTGTAGTGGAATGCAGTATCAAATCTTACCAGTGTCCTACTGCCGTCAAAGTTGATAAGTGACTAGTTCTTGGTTTCTGTATTTGACTCCACGTTACAGGCTTGTACCAGTTTGTGTGTCACACTTGGTTCAGAACTGCTTTAGTGCTTCAGGCTATGGGCTTTGAAGCCAGACCAACTGGAGTCAGGCAGTGTGTTACGTTCAAACAGTCATTTAAACTCGGAGGCTGTCTGCTTATGGTTTTCTTCTCTTAAGAAGGCAGGTGAGGACTGTGGGTAGTAATCCATGAAACGTGTTACATAGAGTCTACCATGTAACTGGTCCTAACAAAGTGTTATAATAAACTGATACGTACGTACGAGGTGAATGAATGAGATTTGCTGATGTAATTCCACGCAGTTGAGTTTCTGTTTGGCCAGATGGCTCTTCCATTCATAGCTGTTTTTCTATCGTAGGTCCTCAGGATATGCTAGAAAATTGGGTATGCCAGGGTCCCTACTGACATGGAACTTAAACATCTAGGGTTGGGAGATGACAGTTAAAAAACCATTGCTATTTGTGCTAAGCACCATGATGAAACTAAACTGGTCAACGTGAAAGATGAGCTTCAATTGAGGGGAGCTCTTTTAGACCTGGGCAAAGCAGAGATGGGAGCGGCTGGAGCAGGAACGAACTGGTTGTGTTTGACAAATGTCGTTGCCACTCTTACTTAGTACCCCAAGAAGTCTTTCTAGAGGAGTGATCAAATTTGAATTCGGTTCCTATAGGTAGTTTTTCCTGTGTATAAGGAGCCTTAATGGTCTGTCACCCTAGATAATGAAAATGCAGGAGCAGAATCCCAAGTTTATGAACTTGCGGGTTAACCACATCATGGTTGATAGTGGTGCTGTCTCTTGTTTTACATATGTTAATGGCCTGTTAAGTTTCTTTTGTGTTGTATTTTTATTTTCCAGAATTTTGATAAGCTAAATGTAAGGACAACGCACTATACACCTCTTCCTTGTGGTTCAAATCCTCTGAAGAGGGAGATTGGGGACTATATCAGGTAAGTGTGTTGGGACCATGTACTGTTCACACTCCTTTTCTTTTCAAAAAGACTGTTTCAGGGGCACCTGGCTGGCTCAGTTGGTAGAATGTGGGGCTCATGATCTTGGGTTCGTGAGTTGAACCCCACTTTGGTCATACAGTGTACTTGAAAAAATGACCTTTTTTTTCACATCAGTTCAAGGAGGTAGTGGCATCTTAGAATGACCTAGAATTGCCGTAAATACATAACCTGTACCCGTGGTGAACTTTTTTAATTTTTTGAATTGTCAGATTTAGTTTTCATTAGAGGGACAGAAATGATGGCACAGTGGTTTCTTTTCCATTTTAGGACAGGTTTTATTAATCTTGACAAGCCCTCCAACCCCTCTTCCCATGAGGTGGTAGCCTGGATCCGCCGAATACTTCGGGTGGAGAAGACGGGGCACAGTGGTACTCTGGATCCCAAGGTGACTGGCTGTTTAATCGTGTGCATAGAACGAGCCACTCGATTGGTGAAATCTCAACAGAGTGCAGGTATGTGGAAGGAGGGGATAAAGAAAGAGGCAGCTTTTGATATCGAAAGGCTTTCTACATTTCTTTTTCTTCTGCCTTTTGGCCCTTGATAATGGTCTCTTCATCAGTTAAAAATCCTGAGCCGGGATACTCTGTACCTTCTGTCCCTTGCCAGATCCTAGTGCATCTGCCTTTCTTGGAGTTCCTGGTACTGGACATGGTGCACATCAAGTTGACTAGATCTGTTCTAGCACGGAGGCAGGGCTGTGTGGGTCCAGCTCTAGGCTTACCGCTCTAAGCTCCTCTGGGTCTTTGCTGCTGCTCCTGCCTTAAGTGCCCTTCCCTCATTTTCATCAGAGGAAGCTCTCCTACATGACCTTGCAAAGTTTTTTCCGAAGCAGTCTCTACATTGGGTATTCCAGCTGTCCCTGTCAGCACATTGGAAGTTGAACTCCCAATGAGAGAAAGTATCTTTCCTTTCCATGTCCAAACCATGAAATTTGTCTCGGGGGAAATTTTACACAAAGAAGTTATCAAATTGCATGTTTTTCTTGCTGCACAAAATGGGAATATGAGCATATAAAACTACAGAAAACTCAGTGGCCACACCTGACTACTCTTCTGTCATTTTTTAGGCAAAGAGTATGTGGGAATTGTCCGGCTACACAATGCTATTGAAGGGGGGACTCAACTTTCTAGGGTAAGTTTGTGATTACAGGGAGGGTACCTCTTGGCAACTTGGGTATCTGAGCCCCTAGCTGTCTCTCCAGAGGTCGGTTTTCCTGGCTGACCTGTCTTGTGCCCTTTTCAGTGGGCTGCTCACGCCAGCCAGGGCAGGTACTGCAGATTTGCAAGGGCACTTCAGCCCTGTCCCCTCTGAGGAAAGGGCTCTGATAAGCACGGAGTCATCCCTGTGTCATTGAAGAGAGAAGCAAAAATGGAAAGAGCATTTTAGGTCTTAAACGATTGGAAGAAACTTTTGATTTTCCATTTGTGTACTTAGACTGCCGCAATAGCCCATTTGCTCCTATTGGAGAGTCCATGCATTGAGTCTTTGCTTTGTGCTTACTCCCAGGCCCTAGAAACTCTGACAGGTGCCTTATTCCAGCGACCCCCACTTATTGCTGCGGTAAAGAGGCAACTCCGCGTGCGGACCATATATGAGAGCAAGATGATCGAGTATGATCCTGAAAGAAGATTAGGTGAGTCATTAGGTCTCTGGGCAGCTGAATTGACGTTGACCACGTGTGGACAGAAGTGAGTTCTTGAGAACTACATTCTCTTGTCAAGAGTAGTTGCCCTTAGTATATGGTGTAGCCGGAGTCTGGTTCTGTTGTGTTTAGTTCTACTGACTCAGAAGAACTCTGGGTTTCTCACAGTGATGTGTTTACTTTGGACAATGTGCTACTTTGTGTGTGTGTCTTAGGAATCTTTTGGGTGAGTTGTGAGGCTGGTACCTACATTCGGACGCTGTGTGTGCACCTTGGCTTGTTACTGGGAGTTGGCGGTCAGATGCAAGAACTTCGGAGGGTTCGTTCTGGAGTCATGAGTGAAAAGGTACACCATTATGGGACTAGAAGTTTTAGAGCTGGTACTTCGTATTTTCCCGTCCTTGGTGGAATTTCTGCTTCCTATCCTGGAAAAGACCATTTCCAAAGTGTTGAGTTCAGTTCAGGGCAGCTTCCCTGTTCTGTTAATTAGACTTTGGAACATTGAAGCCCAGGCCGTGAGAGGTGGTTGGATAGAACGCATTACTCTATTCATTTCCTACCTCTCAGCCTACAGAAATGCCTACTTAGGCTTCAGTATATCAGCGATTACAGATGTGTAGAAGAGACTGAAGACTAGAGTTTGGGACTAAAATTCAGGTTTTGGAAGTTTGGGGGTCTGTTGAACTATTTCAGATACAGTGACACTGAATAATTGTCATATGGCTGCTTTTCAGGACCACATGGTGACAATGCACGACGTGCTTGATGCCCAGTGGCTGTATGACAACCACAAGGATGAGAGTTACCTGCGGCGAGTTGTTTACCCTTTGGAAAAGCTGTTGACTTCTCATAAAAGGCTGGTTATGAAAGACAGTGCAGTAAGTTCTGGGTTATAAGTGGGCTTTGGACATAATGAGATTCCACAAAGATGAGATACAGTCTGTATTCTGAAAACCTCATTCTATGTAGAGATGAAAGATGACGTGAACCTATTTTCTTTTAGGTTTATTTTTTTCTGGCTTTCTAGATTGGACTCTGGAATGTTTTGTCTTTTTATTTTATTTTTTTTATTTTAATTTTTTTGTTTTGTCTTTTTAATAAGCATTTATGATTAACTTGTTTTTACTAAATCAAAACCAAATATACTAGATTAAACTGGGAAATTTAATGGTAAACGTACTTCCATATCAAAATTAGGCAGATTGTTTAAATATTTACTTTTGGGTTTTCCTAAAGTATCAGTGGTACATAAAATCTGCCTTTCTGTTGTAAGCTGGTAGTTCTGTGTGTGCCTAAGAATCCTTGATGTATTTGCACTGTTGCCAGAAAAGATGTTCTTAGAAAGATAGTATTTATTGATTGGAGAGAGGGAGCATTAGCAGTGGAGAGGGGAGAGGGAGAAGCAGATTCCCCACTAAGCGCAGGGGGCCTGCTGTGGGGGACTCAATCCCAGGACCCTGAGATCATGACCTGAGCCAAAGGCAGATGCTAAACCAACTGAGCCACGCAGGTGTTCCTAGAAAAGAATTTTTTGCTTGGGATTAAAAAAGTTAAGATGGGCATTTCAGAGATATGGTAAGCTATGTCCTTAGGAATTTCACTAGGAAGTTTTTTTCTCTTTAAAAAATCTTAGTTTGAAAAAAAAAATCTTAGTTTGAGGCTATAAAACTTAACCGTCACTGAAATTACCAAGATATATTTTTTTGAATTTTTATTTATTTATGATAGTCACACAGAGAGAGAGAGAGAGAGGCAGAGACATAGGCAGAGGAAGAAGCAGGCTCCATGCACTGGGAGCCCGATGTGTGGGATTCGATCCCGGGTCTCCAGGATTGCGCCCTGGGCCAAAGGCAGGCGCTAAATCGCTGCGCCACCCAGGGATCCCTCAAGATATTTTTTTAGTGTGTTTACTACATAACCTTGAGAGTACTTATCTTTTTTTTTAAGATTTTAAATAATCAAAAAAAAAGATTTTAAATAACCTGTATGTGTACCCAGCATGGGGCTTGAACTCACAACTCCAAAATCAAGAATCACATACTGTACTGAGTCAGCTAGGTGCCCTGCAAGTAGTTCTTTTAATCTCGTGATTAATTATGGCAGGGAGAAAATAGCTAAGTTGAGGGTGTTTGATGTACTTTTTATATGTTTTGCTTTGTAGTAAGACACTAAAAGAAAAACTACAGAGGTGTACTAAACTATGCCATTATAATTGAACAAACGTAATTGTGTGAAACAGTGTAAATGCTGGGGCCTCCTTATGCTGGGGTCAGACTGGTGTCCTCTGGATGAATTAAAGTGGGGGGTGGAATGTGGTCAGCAAAAGAGATCTAGGTGGATGAAGACAAGATGGCACAAGACCTTGAGCTCTCAGGGAGAGGTGGCCTTCACTTGCGTGTAATTGGTTCAGCAGGCCTTGGTAATCTTGCTTGCTAGGTACTTTGGGAGCCTGTTACAGGCCAGGTCTCCCCAAAAAGCAAAAAGGTCTCTTAGTTCTGTTATGATTTTCCTCCTTAATGATAAAAAAGAGAAGAATAATTAAAGTCAGTCTGGGTTTTGGTAGAAGATGAAAATACTGTTAAGTCCCACGGATGAATGAGGGGCAGGAATTTAAACTCCCCTTTAATGACTTAATTTCTGAGTAAGTGTGTCTGAGGTGCCTAGCTCATAATGGATGGTTGCTTCATATGCCAGATTGCAGCCAATGGCTATCAGTGCCATCAGCCCCATCCTGTAGGCCGAGGCTGCACTCTCAGGTCCACACCAACGTTCTCCTTTGCACCAGCGAGGGTAGGGATGGAGGGTTAGTGCAGCGGCTAGGACTTTGACATGTGATGCTGTCCCTGCAGGTGAACGCAATCTGCTATGGGGCAAAGATCATGCTCCCGGGCGTTCTCCGATATGAGGATGGCATCGAGGTCAATGAGGAGATCGTCGTCATCACCACCAAAGGGGAAGCAATCTGCATGGGTAAGAGGGGACGTTGCCCAGTGTCTTCTGCACATCACAGCCAGGCTCGCTAAGATCAGGCCCCTGAGCCCTGGCTCCGCAGGCTGTCTGGGGCGGGTGAGGGCGGTCAAAGCAAAGGACCGCAGCAGAGACCCAGATGAGGAGGAGGTGGACGGCTCTTCCCTCGTCCCACTGGCTGCTATTAGAGGCCACGTCTTAGCAGCCTGGCTCCAGCGATGAGGGGGAAGATCCTCAATGAGGGGAATAAGTATCTATGGTAATTGAGGTGAAGAGTGGAGGCCGTTTGTCAGCCTGTACCAGTTACCTTGTGAATGTTTAGCTGCAGGATCCCTGGGTGGCGCAGCGGTTTGGCGCCTGCCTTTGGCCCAGGGCGCGATCCTGGAGACCCGGGATCGAATCCCACAACAGGCTCCCGGTGCATGGAGCCTGCTTCTCCCTCTGCCTGTGTCTCTGCCTCTCTCTCTCTCTCTGTGACTATCATAAATAAATAAATAAATAAATAATAAATAAATAAATAAATAAATAAATAAATAAATAAATAAACTTAAAAAAAAATGTTTAGCTGCTGTTAGATTGTCCCTTAACGCTTCCAGTGTTCCGTTGCCCATGTGTGGCCTGAGCCCCCAGCCTGGTGAGGGTATCTTCACGGTGCTCTGCTCTCTGACTGCTGCATAGAGCCCTGCTTGCAACTGAGAAGGGGATCCGATGACAAGCTTTCGTGTGCAAATTAGGCACATTAGGTGAACAGCTCTGCTTTACTTATTATTAAGAGGTCTCCTGAGGACCTAGAAAGCATTGATTTTTATGCAATTAGTGTAAAAATATTTTAGACTGATATTTTTAATATGGTCTCACAGTTTTTTTTCCATATGAACATCTTCAGCAAAGGAAACCTCAAGGCAGTAGAGCTTCAAGTATTAAATGATTTTTTTAGGGCAGCCCTGGTGACCCAGTGGTTTAGCGCCACCTTCAGCCCAGGGTGTGATCCTGGAGTCCCGGGATCGAGTCCCACGTCGGGCTCCCTGTGTGGAGCCTGCCTCCCTCTGCCTGGGTTTCTATGTCTCATGAATAAATAAATAAAATCTTTTATAAATAAATGAATGACTTTTTTTAGAGGTTTTTTATATTATTTATTTTAGAGTTTTCATTTATTTTGAGAGAGAGCGTGCAAGCAGGGTCAGGAGGGAGAGACTCTCAAGCAGACAGTACACTGCACATAGAGCTCGACACAGGGCTTGATATCACAACCCTGGGATCATGACCGGAGCCAAAATGAAGAATTGGACACTTAACCAGCTGAGCCACCCAGGTGCCCCTTAAATGGGGTTTTAAGATTCATATAAAATAGTAGAATCAGGGCTCATCACATTCCAAGTTTCTCCCCTCCAAGTCATTCTTCATCTCTTTCCAACACCTGCAGCCATTGCATTAATGACCACAGCAGTGATCTCTACCTGTGACCATGGTATCGTAGCCAAGATTAAGAGGGTAATCATGGAGAGAGACACTTATCCTCGAAAGTGGGGTTTAGGTCCAAAGGTAAGTGGGACTGGGCGTGTGCCCTGCTCTGAGTTACCTTTTCATTTTTGTGTTGTTGAATACTCACTTGGGTAGTTCTCTGCTCTGTCTCTACCACCACAACCTTGCCTTGTACTGGGCTCTGGGGAGTGATGGTGAGTAGAAAAGGGAACATCTCAGACCTTAGAGATTTTACTCTAATGGGGGAAAGCAGATGGGCATCACTAATTGCATGGCTAATGGTGAATTTCAGGCAAGTTGAAGTCCTATCAAAGAGTGTAGAGCGGTTCCTGGCACCTTGGGAGTCCAAAATGAAGGGTTTGACTTGATTGGGGGCGGGGGTGGGGGTGGGGAGTCGGGTCTGGGTAAGGGATTTTTGTTGGCTCCATGCCAGCATAAAGGATGTAATGGTATGTGTTGATGAGGTGAAGAAGGGAGGGGAGAGTCTGGGGAAACTGGGATAGTTATGTGCAGAGGCCCTGTCGTGGAAGAATGGGGTGAGAGGCGGTGCCACCAAATGACATTTCAGAGGCTGTCACTGGTACAGTAGGCTTTGTGACGTTGGGCAAGTCCCTTGATTGCTCCTGTTGGAGAGAGTTCTGAGTGCTTTGCAGAGAGGGGTGAGGCCCAGCTGGGAACCCATGAGGGAGAGGAGCCTTATTTGAGCGATCCTAGTACCTGCTTTTCGCGTTACACTGTTCTGATGTCGAAACCCCAACTGTCTCCCAGGCAAGTCAGAAGAGGCTGATGATCAAGCAGGGCCTTCTGGATAAGCACGGCAAGCCCACAGATAGCACACCTGCCACCTGGATGCAGGAGTATGTGGACTACAGGTGAGCACAGGGTGCTTCAGAGCCCCAGGCGGGTGGAGACGGCCCCTCGCTGCCTGGATGCAGTAGTAGTTCCCCAGCTACAGGTGAGGACGGGCGGCGGCGGGGCGGGGTTGGGCCGGCGCAGAGCTGCTGTCGCGGGGACTCCGGGGATCTGCGTGGTGCTCACGAGGCCTTGGGGCCTGCGCAGCAGACAGTTCCCCTTTTCTAGTCTGGCTCGAGGGACTCTAGAGGGAGTGCATCTGCCACAGCAAGTGTGTGGTGAGCTCTTGTGTCTGTCGTCAGTATTTTGACGATGGCCGTAGACTTGCCGGATAGCGCTGCTGGAGGATGCGGCAGGGCCTCCCCGGAAAGCCGCCCTGTGCGTCTGACCTCCTGCCTCTCTTGTAGCGACTCTGCAAAGAAAGAGGTGGTAGCCAAGGCAGGAACAGCCGCACAGGAAGTCACCGAGGTAGTAAAGTCCCCCAAAGTGGTTGCCGAAGTGGTGAAAGCCCCAAAGGTAGGTGGCATGCTGTGAGCGCTGCGCCCTGTGCCCGGTGGAGGGGGGGTGTCCGCTGGTCCTGAGCATGATTGCATGCCAGGCCCGTGTTGTGGCCCCACGCAGCCCGCTCCCCGCCCCTGCACAGCGGAGACCATGCTGTGCCAGGCGTCGGGGTGCCCGTTGGTGCTGAGCGGGCTCCAGGGGGCGTTCCCTGTTGTGGCTGCCGGGAGCGCTGCGGGCTCAGCTCACACTGGCCTCGGCTCCCACCTCAGTTGAGGCAGCAGTGCTGGAGCGCAGAGGGGTCCATGGGCTCCTGGCCCCACCCTGGGTCAGATGGTGGTACAGCTGTGTGGAAATCCACTGTGCGAAGCTCGGGGGGCAGAATGACCTGAGGCTGACCACCTCTAGGCAGCACGGGATTGGTGTTGGGAAGTTCGAGGACAGTAGGCAGTAGTACCTCGACTTCTCCGGGTTGGGGACCCGCGGCTTGAGAGTACAGCATGGGTGCAGGGAGCGAGCCGGGAGGTGCTGCTGGCTGCCCCCTGGGGCCCCCGGCCCTGTTGCTCTGGTGCTCCTGCTGGGCCCGTGGCTTCCCGGTCTTTGGGGCGGAGGTTGTTGTTTGAATCCTCTGCAGATGAAGGCTCTCTTGGGGGTCGTAATGAGGAAACGATCGTCTTAGGTTGAGTCGGGAAGTTCTCTGGCGCTTCCCACATTCTTACTGGACGTTTCTTCCCCACTTTGCCCACGATCTCACATTTGATCACTTGACTGCACCCTAGCGGAAGCGAGACAGTGAGAGCGATGAGCTGTCTCCACAGCTGCTCAAGAAGGAGAAGAAAAAGAAGAAGGAGAAGAAGGCCAAAGCTGCCGCGGAGGGCGTGAGCGAGCCCACAGATGGGGTACGTGTGGACGTGGTCGGGAGGCCCGCGCTTGCTTAGCCGGAAGGGGCAGGGGGCAGCATTTCCTGGCAGCCGCTCGTGCTGCAGACTGTTGATGGCGGGGCGCGTCTGAGTGGCGTCTCTTGCGGAATGTCTGTAAGAGGGGACATTGGGGCCTCCCTGAGAAGGTCCGAATATCCTCACCGGTCCCGAGGCGGCTTTATGGGGCCTTTGGAAGTCGAGACGATTGGGTTGGTAACGGACGCACTGAGGCTGCCCTCTCTCTCCCAGGACAGTGACAGCGCCAGGAAGAAGAAGAAGAAGAAGAAAATAAAAGCGGAGGTGGTTTCGGAGTAGTGGACGCCAGCGCAGGCACGGTGCCCGGTCGGGAGGAGACATTAAAGCCTTACTGAGAAAACGTAACACTTTTGTTCTTGAGGGAATGGAACGCAGGTCCCAGGAAGCTCGGAGAGTTCGGCGCTTCGCAGCTGCTCCCTGAGAACTCGGGGACGAGACCCGGCGTGCTCCCCCCACCCTGTCCTGTTCTAAGGATGTGGGTGCAGGAGGCAGGCTCGATGCCACCCGCTGCGCTTCTCGGGAGAGCTGGGAGTCCCCTCCCTCAGATCCAGGGCGGCCCAGGAACGTCTGCGGGCGGCGCCCGGTGGCTGTCGTGACATCTAGCCCTCTCCTGCTTTGCACCCCCCCCAACTCATTTTAAAAGTCTCCACACGTGGCCCAGTGACCGGATGTGGAGCAAGGAAAAGAACTGAATCCTGTTGGTCACTTGGGGGATCAATCTTTTGTCCCGTGTCCTATGAGGACAGTGGTCTTTTCTGGTGTCAGAGCCATCTCTGCCCCCCCCCATGTGTGTCCCTGTTACAGGCCGCCATCCCGTCAGCTCTGTCCAGCCCCCCCCCCCGGCTTTAGCGGCCCTTTGTGCCCCTTCAGAGCCTGCGTGGACAGCCTCACGCACCTGAGTCCATCTGCCTACTTGTGTTTGTGACAGAAGCTAGGAAACTATTCCAGACTCTCTTTTAACGCTTTTACTTTCAAAGGATGAAATTACTTCCTGCTGGGAGAAGGTTGTACTTTTTACTTAATAAAGTCTACTTGTTTTTAAGTATTTCTGTTGGGTCTTTTATCACAGATGTAAAACTAGCAAAACAAAAAATATAGTTTGATTAAAAATCTAGGGGACTTTATGTCCAATTTGGAACACAGGGCTAGACCATAGCTTCTTTTTCTTTCCTTGGTTCTGAGTTGCCCCATTCATTCTGGGGCCCGTTCCCTGGCATGGAACTGAGTGAGGGCTCTGGAATCTTCGTTGAGAACATGGACTAGATGAAAGGGGGGATCCCTGGGTGGCGCAGGGGTTTGGCGCCTGCCTTCGGCCCAGGGCACAATCCTGGAGACCCGGGATCGAATCCCACGTCGGGCTCCCGGTGCATGGAGCCTGCTTCTCCCTCTGCCTGTGTTCTGCTCTCTCTCTCTGTGTGACTATCATAAATAAAATAAAAAATTAAAAAAAAAAGAAAGGGGGAACCCTCACAGTGATGTCCCAGACATGGGAAGAGGAGGAATGGGGCTGGCAGGAGGTGCCCCCCCATGCATGGGCGGGGGTCCTGAGCGAGGCTGGGGTCCCTCCCCGTGGCGAGGTGAGGCCCGAACATGAGGCTCAGAGTGTGCACCTGGGGGTCTCGCCGGGGACTAGAGCTCCGGGAGCTGGGGGGGGGGTGCTGGGGCCCCAAGTTCGTAGCAGCCAAGCAGCTCCGCGGGAGCAAGGAAGCGGGGTGTCTCCCTCTGCAGGCAGTGGGCAGCGGGCGTGAGGTGCTCTGGGAACCTTTGGGTGGGGAGAGCTAAAGGGAACGGCCGCCCTGGCCGTCGGGGCCAGCGGAATTGGCCGTCGGGGCCGTGGAAGTGGTGGGATCACAGCTCTGCTCCCAGCTTGTTTGTATCGCACGTCTGCGTGCAGGTGGGCACAGGAGGACAGGCATCTGGCAGGCCCTGTCCCTCCGGAGACGCGGGGGGGGGGGGACCCAGAGAGCGACAGGTACTGGCGTTCAACACAGCGAGGTCTTTATTGCTTTTGCGGGTTTCCCTACAGCGGACATCATCCTACTGCACAGCTGCTTCATTCTGGCATTTTAGAAAGTTGAGGTTACAGACGCTGCAAAGACACAGGAGCTGCCCCGTGGGGTTAAGGGCGAAGGAGCGCGGGCTCTAACGAGGCGCGGCCGGCGCCCTTCCTCTCCCTGTGCCCCGTCTGCGAGGAGCGGTGCAAGCTGATGTGGCTTCGGCCTCGGGGTCGCACGGCCCCTTCCAAAACCCCAATCAGGGGGGCGCACGGGCGCGGAGCTCGAGCAGTGGCGGCCCCACGGGGTAAGGACGACAGAAGCAGAGCGCGGGAAGCTGGCAAACCGGTGGGAGCGTCCGTTTGTCCTAAAGCAAGAGTGGGACGCGGGCGGGGGAGGGCCGCCGCGGGGAGCCGGCCGGCGACCTGAGCTCAGTAGACCCAGGACACGGGCACCCACTGCGGAGAGCTGCACGCCCGCTCGAAGGCCTCCTGCAGCTTCGTCAGCGTCTCCTCCACGCCGTTGTTGACCAGGGACAGGTCGAAGTAGTGCGCGTACTGGCTGCGGATGGCCTCCGAGTCCTTCTGCAGCTGCTGCAGGGCCTCCGTCTGCGACGAAGACAGGGCCACGGTGAGGCGGGCGCGGGACGGGCTGGCGGTGGCCGCCGACGCCTGGGACCACCGCCCGCCTTACAGCCCCCGCCTAAAGACCAGCCCTGAGACCTTCCCTGCGCGTGTGGACCGGCCAGGGCGCACCAGGCACCTCTCGGGGCCTCGCCAACTGACCCCACGAACCATCGGAGCCCTGCGCAGCAAGAGCTCCGTCCCCGGGGCGTGGGTCACAGCCCCCGCCGCTGCGATGGGCCCAGCTGCAATCCAGGATGAGGACGGGGCGACACCGCCCCTGGTTTCTTTCTAGAATCCCAAATCCCAAAATCCGTGAAGAGACTGTAACTCCATAAAAGTGAGAATGTGTGCACAGCGATAAGCACCAAACACCTGCCAAGGTGGGAAGAGCTATTTGCGGCGGACGGCACCCCGGGCTGAGGACCCCAATACCCAGCTCCCAGAAAGCCGTGAGGCAAGGGCCAAGAACCCAAGAGAGGCTGGCCAAGGACCTGAGCAGCCAGTCGTGGCCAAGGCTTCGAACAGCCCTCCACGGTCTGGTAAGACACGCGACCACTCGGGAAAAGATACAAGCACGCTGGCCCCACGGCTCTACTCGACTGGACAAACAACTGCAGCCCCGGAGAGCGTCGTCCTGGCACGGGAACGAGCCGTTGCCCGGCTTCGCATCCCGGGACCTGGCAAGTCGGCTGCAGGGTCTCCAGGGATCCAGCTGCGCGGGCGTGCAAGGCCACGCGGATGGCACACCGCGGGCCGCCCCGATCCCCGGCTCGGGCTGAGCCCAGGGACTGGGGGCCGCGCTGCCTCCTGGGCCCGCGTCGCCCGGGTCACACCCGCCACGCTGCCCGCCTCCGCCGCGGGAGCGCAGCACCCCCGGAGCCTCCGTCAGGGTCTGCTGAGAAGTCCCACGCGCCCGGCCCTTGGGCGTCTCGGCCTTCCGGGACGGAGGGCGGGAGCCACGGGCCGCAGGGGACGTCCACCCACCCTGCGTAGCCCCGTCCTCCTCACCTGAGTGCCCTGGTCAGTAGGTGCGATGAACACGATGAAAGGGGACAGCTCGGCCGTGCGGACGATCTTCAGGGTCTGCAGAGGGGAGGGGAGGAAGGGAGACGAGAGGACGGACTCAGCCACCGCCACGGCGTCCTTCCGCCACTACCTCTGGGCGTCCCGAGCCCACACTGCACCTGGCACAGCCGCCTCTACGGGCGCCCGAGCTCCCCCGGCCCGCCTTCCCCTTCCCCCGCTCCCCTGCTCCCCCGCCTTCCCACCTGGGGCTCGATGTCCAGGATGGCGATCTTGTCCTGCTCGTGAATCTGGTGCACGGTCTCGAACTTGGTGCCGAACATGTTGCCCTGGTAGCTGCCGAACTCCAGGAACTCGTTGGCGGAGATGTTCTTCGTCATCTCCTCGGTGGAGATGAAGTGGTACTCCTTGCCGTCCTCCTCCCCCTTCTTGGGCGGCCGCGTCGTGTCTGTGCGCGAGAACCCGCACCCCTGAGGGACCTGGGGTCCTCGCCACCCCCGGGGCTTGGATCAGGCATTCGGACCCACCTCCCAGCTGCCTGGGCCGCACAGTCGAGTCGCGGGGTTTCCCGCACAGACCCCGAGGGGCTGACGTGGGCGACGCAGAGCCCTGTGGATCCGGGGCGGGGACTCCCCGGGGGCCAAGCCCGATGTGGCCAATTCCTACCCCTTCCCCTCCATGAACTTACAGCTCCTAAACCCCCAACCCCGGGAATCGTAGAGCCCACGACTGGGGAAATGACGGCTGAAAATAGTTTTTTTAACAGAACTATGGGCCACGCTCAGGATTTCTTAAAAGCGTTGGGAAAATTTCCTTTTTATAGCGTGGAACGAAGACAATGTTGGTTTGGCTCAAAACACATTTTGCTAGATCTTGGAATATTAAGTAACAACATTTAGTCTCATTCATACAAATTGTCCACTAAAACGTGCTCCAGAGGGGCGCCCGGGGGGCTCAGCGGTCGAGCATCCGCCTTCGGCTCAGGGTGTGATCCTGGGGACCCGGGATCGAGTCCCGCGACGGGCTCCCCTCCAGGAGCCTGCTCCTCCCTCTGCCTGTGTCTGCCTCTGTGTCTCTCGTGAATAAATAAATAAAATCTTAAAAACAAGAAGACATTTCAGGAGAAGTCCAGACAGCCCAGATGTCAAGCAATAGTGGAGAGCTAGGGAAACCACAGGACGGCCACTGAACGGACTGGGGTTCAGGCACGCGAGAAAATGTTTATGACACGAAGTAAAATGAAAAACATAATGTCCATTTTAAAAAGATTTCATCTGTAATTAGTGTCTCCGCCCAACGTAGGGCTGGAACCCACAACCCTGACATCCAGTCATATGCTCCAGCAACTGAGCCGGACTAGGTGCCCCAGTGAGGTGGGTTTTTTCTTTTAAGATTTTATTTATTTGAGGGGATCCCTGGGTGGCTCAGCGGTTTAGCGCCTGCCTTTGGCCCATGGCGCGATCCTAGAGTCCCGGGATCGAGTCCCATGTCGGGCTCCCGGCATGGAGCCTGCTCCTCCCTCCTCCTGTGTCTCTGCCTCTCTCTCTATCATAAATAAATAAATAAATCTTAAAAAAAGAAAAAGATTTTATTTATTTGAGACAGTGAGCGCGCGGGAGAACAGAGCAGGGGGAGGAGCAGAGGTGGGCGAGAAGCAGGCTCCCCATCGAGCAGGGAGCCCGATGTGGGCCTTGATGCCCGGCCCCCAAGATCACGACCTGAGCAGAAGGCAGATGCTCAACCGGCTGAGACCCCCAGGCGCCCCTGAATGTCTTCAGTGACATTACTTGCTTCATTCCTTAAAGCAGGATAAAAGTATTTTCTAGTGCTTCTGTTACACAAACGGCCCAGCACAGAACAGCAACGTAGTCAGCTGGAGCGGTGATGTGCACACATGGCTCTTTCCAAGTTGTGTTTCGTTTTTATTTATTTTATTTATTTATTTTTATTTTTTTATTTTTAAAGATTTTATTTATTTATTCATGAGAGACACAGACACACACAGAGAGAGAGGGGCAGAGACCCAGGCAGAGGGAGAAGCAGGCTCCATGCAGGGAGCCCAACGTGGGACTCGATCCCGGGACCCCAGGATCGCGCCCTGGGCCCAAGGCGGCACTAAGCCGCTGAGCTACCCGGGCTGCCCGTGTTTCGTTTTTATAAACACAGTCACCCATAGAAAGGACCACAGGGTCATGTCAGGGTGGTGCTCCCACCTGTCGCCCGGGGACCCCAGAGGTACTTACACGGGGCCGGGTACGCGAACTTGTCCGGGTTCTGGGTGAGCAGGGCGTTCTTAATGTGGCTGCGGCCCACGCCACTGGCCCCTGTGCAGGGAGGAAAGACAGGCTGGGCGAAGGCGGGCAGCACATCGCGGTGGGCTTCATGAGGGTTCCCCACTCCTTCTCCCAAGCACAAAGGTGGGGGTGGGTTCACAAATGGGGTGCGGGTGGGGGTGAACTGCTGTGGCTTCCACACTGGGGTCAGGGAGGGGCCGACACGCCTCTAAGCACAGGACCATCTGGGGCTGCTGGTCCTTGGGTCCTGTCGGGGGGGCTGAGGCCTGAGGCGCAGGACACAGGACAGAACTTGTTTCTACAGAGGAGCCGGCCAGCACGTGCGGTTTTGTGTGGCATTTTTAAAGAATCTGGCTTTATTGAGCTCTTCAAAAGTAATGGAGCTGATTTTTTAAAAATATTTTATGTATTAAAAGAGAGAGAGAGAGAGAGAAAGAGAGACAGGGGGGCGGGTGGAGACCCAGGCAGAGGCAGAAGCAGGCTACATGCAGGGAGCCCAATGGGGGACTCGATCCCAGGACCCGAGGTCACGGCCTGAGCCCAAGGCAGACGCTCAACCGCTGAGCCCCCCAGGTGGCCCAAGGAAGTTGGCTTTTAAGATAGATTTATTTAATTGACAGGGGAGAGAGCGAGCGAGCGAGCGTGAGCACAATCAGGGGGAGCAGCCGCACAGGGAGAGGGAGAAGCAGGTTCCCTTTTGAGCAGGGAGCCCAGCGCGGGGCTCGATCCCGGGACCCCGGGGCTGTGGCCAGAGCCTGGGGCAGGCACTTTACCGGCTGAGCCGGCAGGTGACCCAGAACAGAACCGCGGGCAGGGTTTCCATGTCTGTGGCTGCGGAGCCCTAACGCGCCCCTCGAGGCGACGGACGTGGCCCTGACGGGGTGCGAGCCGCCCCCCTGCAACCGCGGGCTGCTGAAAACCCCGGAGGGTGTAGCTTCACGGGCCCCGTAAGGACAGCGAGACCCGGGCCCAGACCTCCCGCCCCCTTCCCCCCACGGCTCGGATGCCAAGGGGCGCCGGGGACCGCGGGGCGCAGGCTGCAGACGCACCGATCAGCACCAGGGTCTTCCGCTTGAACGCAGGGAGCCGGACCACTTCCTCGTAGGACACCACGTCCAGCTGGTCAAAGACTAGGACAGAGCAAAGCGACCTCACGAACACGAGGGGGCCGCGGCCGGGCTCCTCCTGGGGCTCCGGGTCCCCCTCCGGCTCCCCCATGTGTCCGTGGCCCTGTGGGTGGGGCCCTGACCCGAGGCTGCTGTCGCCCCGGGGCCCCTCTTCCCTGTCCCCCCGGCCGCCACCGGCCGGACAGCTCGGGGACCAGGCCCGAGCCCCGGGAGCGGCGGTAGCCCTGAGCCCGCAGCCGTCGGAGCAGCCGGAGCGGGGGTGTGGTGGGGGGCGACAGAGAAGGGAGAGCCGGGCCCTCCCGCCCCCCACGGGGCCCAGCTTACTGGAGCTGTGCTTGGCCAGGTACTTGTCCTTGTACTTCTTCTTCTTCCCGAACGGGCTGCAGCTCGGGGCCTCGCTCGGCGCGGACTGCGCGGCACTCGCCACCCGCCTGCGGGGACAGGGCCCGGGTCAGGGGGCACGGCCCGGGGACAGGGCCCCGGGTCAGGGGTCACGGCCCGGGGACAGGGCCCCGGGTCAGGGGGCACGGCCCGGGGACAGGGGCCCGGGTCAGGGGAAACGGCCCGGGGACAGGGGCCCGAGTCTGTGGCCCACGGGGACACATCTGTGTCCGGCCTCCCGACCCGGGGTGCCCGCCTGGGACTCTGCAGTCGGGGCTGGGAGTTCGAGCCCCGCACCGGGGGCGGCAACGGCGCGGTGAAGTCCTCCCAAGGCGCACCTGCAGGCGCCCAGCCTGGCCCTCTCGGCTGCGCGGGCTCGGGCCCTGCCTGGCATCTTGTCATTGCCCCCCTCGCGGCCTGTCAGCTCGCCCCTGCGCCCTCCCTGTCTGTGAGCACGGGCCCCTCGGTCTGGGAGGAGCCGACCAGACATGGAGAACCGTCTGGAAGGAGCGGGGCTGGAATGGTCGGGCTGCGCCGAGGGGAGATGTGGCGACCGCCAGGAGGGCTGTCACGTCCTCCTGGACACGCCCCCCATGCCAGGTGTTGGGAGGCCACCTGAGGAGGGTCCGGGGGGCACGGGCGCGGTGTGCCCCGGGAAGCTGTCCCTGTGTGGCCTGTGGGTCCCGCCTCAGTGACAGCCGCGGGGACCCCGTGGGAGGGCCTCCCGGGCCATGGGTGGCCCCACGCAGCTCACCCACCCACCCCACTGGCCGGGACCTGTCATGCCCCTGCGTGGGTGGTGGCCACACGGTGCCCATCACCCCGCACACAGCGCAATGGCCCCAGTGCCCACTGCATCAGGGTGTCCCTGACTCTAGAGTTCCTTCAGGGTGTATTTTTTTTTTAAAGATTTTATTTATTGGGATCCGTGGGTGGCGCAGCGGTTTGGCACCTGCCTTTGGCCCAGGGCGCGATCCTGGAGACCCGGGATCGAATCCCACGTCAGGCTCCCGGTGCATGGAGCCTGCCTTCTTTCATCCCACTGCCTGTGTCTCCTGCCTCTCTCTCTCTCTCCTGGACCTATCATAAAATAAATAATAAAAAAAAGAAAGTCCTTAGTAAAAAAAAAAAGATTTTATTATGTATTCATGAGAGACTCAGAGAGAGAGCAAGACAGGCAAGGGAGAAGCAGCTCCACGCCGGAGCCCGACGTGGGACTCGATCCCAGACCTCCAGTTCATGCCCTGTCCGAAGGCGGTGCCAAACACTGCCCCACCCAGGCGGCCCCCGTTCAAGTGTATTTTCCAAGATCTGTACCCCCACTCTGGGGCTCGCACCCCCCCCCCCCAGACCAAGAAGTCACGTCTCCACCCACTGTGCCACCGTAACGCCACTTGGCTATTGCTCTGATCAGAGCTGATTGCGTCCCCGGCACTTCCAGGGTTCGGGGACCGTTCTGAGCTCCCAGTGTTCGTCCCCAGATGAGGCCAACCGGAATTTGGGGCTTAAACTCAAGATAACGTCTCTCCCTTGATGTTGCAATCGCACACTGATTTACTTGCGGGTCTTCCAGCATGAAGATGCTGGTTCGCCTTGATGTGTGAGTTCGCACCGCCGTCTGGGGGGGCCCAGGGGTGGAACATCCACCTTGGCTCCGCCATGGTCCTGGTCCGGGTATCGACCCCACACGGGGGGGGGAAACGGTGTCCCTGATCAGCGGGGGCCCTGCCCGCTCCCCCTGCTGGTGTCGATCTCACCTCTCTCTCTCTCTCTCTGTCAAATAAATCAATAAAATCTTAAATTCAGAAAAGGGAAGTGTTGTGTGTGTAAAGCTGGTGCGGCGCTGCGAGGGCCCTGCGCTAAGTGAGCAACCCGGCTCGGGGACAGGATTTATTTCCCTGTGTTCTGGGAATCTGCACCCAGGACACATGTCGCGTGCCTGTTTCCCAGTGGGCTCAGAAGTGCACTGGCCCGGGAGGCCGGAGACCAGGGAGGGCGCCAGTCCCAGCAGTCCCAGGGCTGTCACTTGCTTTGTAGCTGTAGGGAAAGCATGTGGGGAAACAGAGGCCCCCAGCCACACGAAGAGCCCTTCCCTCAGGCTCCTTTACCCGTCGGGGCTTGCGGGGCTTGCGAGCGCAGCCGATCAAGTCACCGTCGCCCCCTCAGCCGTTACGCCCCCGCTCCCGTAAGGCTGCTCAGTCCCCAACAGAAAGTTCACACAAGACGACCGGTTTGTGAAGCTCAGCGACGACGCGCGGCAAGCACGGTGCCTCCCGCCGGCAAACTGCACCCATGCAAAGGCGACTCACCACTCCTGCAGCTCAGGAGACGGGATCAATCCTGCGGATTCCTTGGAAGAGCCTTCCACCCGCCCCTGCCACCAGTTACTGTCATCCTTGTTGATGATCTTGATGATGTCCCCAGTAACGAACTTCAGTCCCGCCTCCTTGCAAGGGATCAGGTGGTCCTTTCTGGGATCATAGTCAAACTGTGCTCTCATGAACATCTGAAAAATAAGGCAAAGGGAACTGCAGGAGCAGCTGCAGGGGGACGCCAGCCGCAGTGTATGTGGGTGAGAAGTTCTGCCGAAAGTAAATGGGGTCAGGGCCGGGTGAACAGTGGGGAGAAGTGACTGGAGCCGGGGCCGGACCTGATCCCTCCAGCATGGTGGTGCTTCCTGCCGCCGAGCTGTCTGTCTGTCTTGGAGGACAAAGCAGCTACTATTGGAAATGCAGCTTTCCTCGGGAAATTTTTTCACAGTATATTAAATAAACGACATGAATGTGCCAGAGGTCTTTAAAACGTGGATACCACGTCTCCACGATGCCCTCCTAAAGTACAAGTTGGGCCGCCCGGGGGGGGGGGGGGGCTCAGCGGTTTAGCATTGCTTTCGGCCCAGGGCGTGATCCTGGGGACCCGGGATCAAGTCCCATGTCGGGCTCCCTGCATGGAGACTGCTTCTCCGCCCCACCTCTCTCTCCTCTCTCATGAATAAATAAATAAAATCTTTAAAAATATATCTGGCAACTTGCTTGGTGAAAAATGATACTGCACACATTTTAGGTCGTGTTTCTTTGAGGACTGGTGACATCGGCTGGTTTTCACATGCTCAGTGTTCCTGTGTATTTTTCCTCCTGTGCTTTATCTCTTCGTGTGCTTTGCCCATTTTCCCCTTAGGATAAGGAGGGTACCCCGTCCTTTCACATCGGTTACAAACAAGTCAGAAACAAGGTCTGCCGGGTTGTAACGGGTGTTCGTTCAGGCCAGCCAGCACCAGGCAGCTACAGCCGTGAGACACCGAGAACTTAAAATCAGAATACTATTTCATTTTTTTTAAGAATACCATTTCAATCAAAACTCCAAGAACACAGCAGAGAAAATGGTGTGACCTACCTGTAGCGCAGGAAGACGATTCTGCTGGTTGGGAATTACTTTTAAGGAGATCATTCCTTTGGTTTCTTTCTATTAAATAGGAAAGGACAAATGACATTACGGTGGATAGATGATGGATGACCTGAGGTTTCATAAAGTCTTATTTTGCCTCTCAAAGTCCCCAAAAAGCGTTTTCTTCCAACGCCCATCTTTACTGTGCACTCTGAAATTCTGGACAACAGCTCCTCCTTCGATACCAGAATCTCACGGGCCCTGTAAGCCGCTGTGACAACATGGACACACACACAAACAATAATGATGAAAAGGGGACTGATTTCCCTCCTCCCCACAGTCAGCCCTAAACGGCCCCCAGAGGAGCCTAAACGAACCCTGGCCCACGTATACGCATAGGTTTCTCGACACTGAGGCAGACGTTTCCAAATACTCACCTGTTTATCCATATTAGTGTGTATATATTTTTTTTGTTTGATTTTGGCCAGAATGGGATCATACTCTACCCCTGGTTCTGTCACATGCCGTTCACTGAGCCATACTTCCCAGTACTGGCCATGTCAGTTGTTGCCAATTTTTTTTTTCCGCTGCCATCTGCTGCAATAGACATCCCTGAACGCCATCTATTCTAGATTTGCACTTTGGTTTCCATAGAATAGAATCTCATGGTAGAAATGCAGAATCAAAGGCCAAGAGCATTTCAATAGCTGCCCTCAAATTATAGCACTTCCACTCTCACCAGGAGTAACGAGAGGCCCTCTCCCCCAGATTCTTGCCCGGGGTCCATGTTAACATCCCTTTTCATTCTGGCAGTCGATGGGTGGAAAGGACTACGCGGTTACTCTAGTCTGTGATTATTTTATCATGACTCAAATTGGGCCCCTTTTCAAGAGCCTTTTCTTTTTTATATCATTTGCTCTATTCTTCGGTTTTGTGGTTTTTTTTTTATAACAAAGTTGAGCAGCTCTTTAAACGTTACCGTTATTAACTCAGTTATTAACTCCGTAGCCTTATATATGTGCTGTAAATCTTTTCCCCAGCCTATGGTTTATGATCTTTGTCATCACACAACACTAATTAACCTCTATGTAGCCAACTGCATTTTTACATTAGTCAAAGGGAAGCACAGATTTTGAAGGTTCACGTATTTGCAAAAGTTGTTATGCAGGACTGAGCGTCAGAGCCATACCCCAAGCAGAGGAAAAACCATGCATCCAGTCTTACTGAGAAGCAACCATGCGGCCAAATCGCAGGGCAGCCCGCCTTGTGGAGGGTAGGCCGCGGCCAAACAGATCCACCTTCCCGGGCTGGGCCTCATGGGATCCTCACTTCTTCTTACGGGTGGGAAGAGGCCCCAGATAACCTCTTACATGGGGGACAAGCAGGGAAATGGACTCCACAGATCAATGTTCCAGCAGGAAACACAAGGTGGCGAAGGTCTTTGAGTGGAGGGATGGCACCGGGGTTCCTGTCACCCCACAGGGCTGTGGGCATGTGGTCTGAGACCATGTGTTTGCATGAGAATCAGAATGAAGTCCACCTCTTCCAGTTGGTTGATGTAGCTCTGAAGACTCGTCCACCTGCCCCTCCTTTTAGGACAGTAGCCTTGTAGGGTCCTTCGCAGCTTCTGTATCCTCACTGCATTTCTGGCTACTTGCTCTGTTGACTACTGAGAGACATGAACTCCTGGACTCTGACTACGGCTGTGGCTTGGCTTTTTCTCCTCGGAGTTCTTTTTTTTTTTCTCTCTCCTTGGAGTTCTATTGGTTTGTGTTTCAACTATGTTGAAGCTCTGCTGTTAGGTACATGGACATTTAGGGTTTGGGTTGCTTCACAAAGCAAGGTAAAGCTGGTCCCTGTTACTTCATTTACTCAGAAGCAGAAGTCCAAGCGAGGGCTTTTATATATATATATAGATGCTATACCCAGTGTGGGACTCGAACTCACAATCCTGAGATCAAGAGTCACATGGTCTGCCCAATGAGTCAGCCACATGCCCCGCAGGGACTTTTGATTAAAGCCAACCCCAGGTCTGTCCTTTTACAGCCACGTGACCATGGTCAAGTTTCAAAACTCCTGAAGGTTCGGTTTCCTCATCTCTGTCTCAAGAGAAAAGCCATATTCTGGTTCAAATGACACTTTTTCCCAGGTTGCTGCTGTCTTGTTCACGCCCCGGCAGGTACCCTAGCCCATCACCACTGAGTGCTGGTGGTGTGGCTTCCACAGGCAGCGGCCAACTACACCCAACCACCCCATGTGCGGGTTTATTGAGTAATTTTAAAGTGACCTCCTTGTCCCACGTGTGCCTCAAACTCACAAACCCGAGGTCAACAGTCACACGGTCTACTGAGGCAGCCCTGCACCCCTCAAGTTTTCATTGGTAAAATTCCATCCACTCTTCATAAGAAATGTATGAATGCAGATTCCGATCTTCATTTTACAGATGACTTAGGGAAATTAATCCACCTGCTCAAAGCCCGGCTAGAGTACAGTAGAGCAGGGCTGCAGAGCTGCCACTAAAGAGCAATGCTTTCTTTTTTTTCGGGGGGGCAATGCTTTCTGACACCCAGGCCAATGGTCTTTCTAGATAGACACTCTGGGTTATTCACCTTGTTTTAGAAATTTACTCCATGAAAGCAGAGAACTGTCCTTCCTTGCACGGAATAAAGATTAGTGGTGCTAAGAGCCCCTTCAATGAGGTATAAAGACTTGATAGAAAAATGACGGACAGTGACAGCAACATGTGCCCACACTTCACACGGATAATGGCATAGAGAATACCCACCATCGCCTTCTGCAGCTGATCTACTGAGTGATTTGTCACGTTTGTGCCATTGATTTCTAGGATCTCATCCCCGACGTGAAGGGAGCCTACCAGAAAATGAAAAATAGGTCCACAAAGAATAAACGTTAAAACGAGAACTGTCAAAAAAATAAAAAAATATAAAAAAAATAAAACGAGAACTGTCTATATATATATATATATATTTTTTTTTTTGAGAACTGTCAATATAAATCAAGAGACCACAGAAAAGCAACCATGAGCTAGAGCGTATCATATGACCGGCTGCGTAAAATACTCGGGGTTGAAAATCCTCATCCATGGGAAAAGGGAACGGTTCTTCCGATTCCCTTGAGGGATGTATCAAGGTAGGCACTCGACAGTTCTGCTGACCAAGCACCGTAAGAGCTCTGGGTCCTCAGCAAGTGTAAATTTTCTTTGTTGTTTTGCTCAAGCCCACAGATGCTCCCTAATGGTAAAGTCACTCGATGGTTAGATTCTATGTGAAGGGACACCTGGGTTGCTCAGTGGTTGAGCGCTGCCCTCAGCCCAGGGCGTGATCCTGGAGTCCCGGGATCGAGTCCCCCATCAGGCTCCCTGCATGGGGCCTGCTTCTCTCTCTGCCTGTGTCTCTGCATTGCTCTGTCTCTCATAAATAAATAAATAAAATCTTTTAAAAAAAAGATCCTAAGTGAAGAGTAGTCACCAATATTTGTGCCACCCTGGATACACAAGAAGCCCAAACTAAACGTAAAAGAGTAGGGCTCAAAGCATGGGATGAAGTGGTGCAAATACAGGTGACCCACAGCTCCTCCAAACATGCCGTGTTTTAACATCCTCTCAGCCTCTGCCCCCCCACGAATGGCTTCTAATAAATGCTGGATCCGAGATTGAGGGCACGGGCACATTACGAGGATGCAGCGGTTGCTTGTGGTCATTTCCCAGCTTAACTGTTAGCTCCGGGAGGAGAGGTGCTCTGCTTCCTTCAGCGTCATGTACTCAAAGTCTAATGCAATGAGTTGCATACAATTGCTCAAATATTAATCATCAATATTAATAATACTACTAAGCGGTATACATGGTGTGTAAGAGCCCTCGGGGGAGAGGTGCTGGCATGGGGCCATTCACACCCAGGCCGTATTGCACGAGGATTCTAAAGAGCCAGTATTAATCCACCAAAGATTGCTTGCCACGCGCACAAAAATGCCCCCGGGTTTAAAGATTAGTAGCTCCGCGTCCCTGAGCAGCGAAGAGGCAGTGACTGATTAATCCCCGACGGAAGCACGACCGGGGACCCCGCCCCGAGTACCTTGTCGGTGAATCATGCCGCCGTGGAGAATCCTTGCCACCGTACAAGACTGCTTTTCGTTCAGCTTCAGGGTGATTCCCTGCAATGAAGACAAAGGGCACAGTGAGCTCTCCTGCCAGCCGCTCCGAGGTTGCCTTCAGGGGCGTTCAAGGTCACGTCTTGCGAGGAAGATCCTGCCTCTGTGCCTGGGCCGTAGTCGAGCAGAATGGGCATGAGGCGCTCTCTCTCTCTCTCCCATGAATAAATAAATAAAATCTTAAAAAAAAAAAAAAGGGCAGCCCGGGTGGGTCAGCACTTTAGCGCTGCCTTCAACCCAGGGCCTGATCCTGGGGTCCCGGGATTGACTCTCGCATCGGGCTCCCTGCATGGGGCTTGCTTCTCCCTCTGCCTGGGTCTCTGCCTCCCCCCCATCTCTCTGTGTCTCATGAATAAATAAATAAAATCTTAAAAAAAAAAAAAGAATGGGCGTGAGGGCTGCAGTCCGAGAGCTGTGCGCAGCCTTCCGCATCCCCTCCGGAGGCCCAGGGACCCCCGGGCTGGAGCGAGCAGGGGGTGGACTGCCGTAAGGATTTACCATGGGCTCCTCGGTGACCTTCTCAAACTGGATGAGTCGCACCTTCCGCACCTCCTGCCCTTTGGCCTGGGTAGGGCTCCCCGGGGCAGCGGAACCGTTGGTGTACATGTCCTCAGTCACGGCATTCACCTGGTGCGACGCAGCCTGCTGGGGCCCAAGGACAGGGCGATGATGCATCAAGTCAGCAGCAAAGGGCTGCCCTTGCCCCGTCACTCCCACTCCCAATTCTAAAGGGCTCTGAGCTGGGGATCCCTGCGGGGCTCAGCGGTTTGGCGCCTGACTTTGGCCCGGGACGTGACCCAGGAGTCCTGGGATTGAGTCCCAGGTCGGGCTTCCTGCAAGGAGCCTGCTTCTCCCTCTGCCTGGGTCTCTGCCTCTCTCTGTCTCTCATGAATAAATAAATAAAATCTAAATAAATAAATAAATATAAATAAAAATAAATAAATAAATAAAATCTTTAAATAAAAATGAAAAGGCTCTGAGCCAGTGGCTCTTTCCCAAGGTCCACGTCCGTCATCTGAATTGATATGAAGCCATCTGTGGGTGTTATTTCCCAACTTAATGGGCACGTTTATGCAGTTTGCTGCACGGATATTCCTGTTTGACCCCCAGGGAGCTGCACCGAGGGCTTCTGCTGAGGGGCTGTGGGCTTGGGAGGTGCGTGTACAGACACACACGCGGACGCATGCACACGCACAGCCTACGGCCAAGATCCGGGATGGGATGCGTTCAAGGAACCTGATGCTCCCGTCCCACACGGTAAAGGTGACTGAGGTCACCATGAGTCTCACAAATCACCTCGCTGGCTGGAAATGGAAGTTCTACGTGGCCTACACAGCTGGGCATTCAGCGCTAGCCGGTGGCCCAAGAGGACACAGGGCCTGGCCCTCCCACCATCCCAGGATGACATCTGCACTGTGGCCCCTTGCTCCCAACCTTGCTGACAGCAACGCTCCCAAGTGGCACTCGCCATGGCCCTGGCCGGAGGACGGACATCAGAGCAGTGGGATGGACAGCGCGGAGCCACAGGCTATGCACGGCCACACACACCGCAGGATGTGGACGGGGACATCATCGCAGCACAATCTCGTAAAAGAAGACACTACCAGACCTAAGTTTTGGACCCCTTGGACCACAACCTGAAGACATCATGCCCCTCAACCCGTAAACGCTTCCACATGTTTGCTCAGAACAAGAATGTTCTCAAAAACAAAAACTTCCCAGGGACACAACACTCTACCCGTCCTCAGCTGTGTCTGCACGTCAGGAGCACCCTCCTAGTCCTTCCTAGCTACTCACACTTCCCGAGACCAGGATCCAGGATCCAGGATCACGCCCTGCATTCACCGTTCGCATCTCTTTAGCGTCCCTGAGTCTGGAAAAGTTCCCGAGCCTTCCTTTGTCTTTCGCGGCCTTGATGTCTTTAAGAGGACAGGCCTACCATTTTGTAGGGTCTCAGTCGGGCTTTGTGTAACGTTATCCCAGGATTCGGCTGAGCCCGTACACGTTTGGTAGGAGTCGCATGGACGTGGTGCTGCACCTTGTCAGCTCAACTGTATTCTTAGAAGCCCTGACCTGGGAGGACCTCAAGAGTCCGTCAGCAGTACGATGAACGTGACGGGGTGGCCACCCACTGGACACCACACCCCAGTGACAACCACCGGCTGTGGCTGCCCTGCAACACCGATGGATCTCTCTTCCCGGAGGCCTCCTCAGCCTCTTCTGCTGCTGCTTCCTCATTCTTCTAGCCCGTTAATGTTAACCCAGACCTTGTGGTGAGGAGCCATCACCGTGAGGAAGGTCAAGCGGAAGCCTCTGAAACGGGCCCCACTCAGCCCACGCGGAACAGTGAATGAGAACCAAGACGGCCGGCTAGACGAGGAGGCACCAGGCCCGAGCTCCGTTTACAGGGGGGGGGAATTCAGCACTCGAGTCCAAGGTCAAAATGGGCGGCGGCTGAGTCCAGCCATACCAGGGAGGGCCGTCGAAGACCATGGGGAAGGAAGATTTTCCCAACCGGGGGCGCCCGGGGTGCTGTGCCTCACGTGCCTTCGTGAAGAAGGGGAAGTGGGCATATCCGCGGTTGCAAACTGTCTATGTAGGTCTGCACCCACTCACTCCCCCACTCACTTCTTCCTGGGCAGTGGCCAAGGGCCCAGAGGGGAAAGGACTGGAAATCAGAGGGTAGAGGCCTGCGGACAGACGTGCGTCTCCTAAGATTATGAAACCCTACGGAATGAAATCTGAATTTTCCTTTCTTTCATCCTTAGAGGTCATCAGAAACCCCGATACGATGGTGAGGTTGGAAGGAGGCTGTTACTGGGTGGCCTCAGAACAGGGAAGTGCTGAGAGGGACAAAGGGCCTTGCGCGGCAACTAGGACTCAAAAAAAGTCACATGACACGTAGGTCACATGAGTCCTACAGCACCTCTAGTAGAACAGAATTGTCGAAGATGGTGTGTACCTGGAAAACAGACTTGGGGGTGGCCCAGGGGGCGCAGCGGTTTAGTGCCGCCGTCAGCCCAGGGCCTGATCCTGGAGACCCGGGATCGAGTCCCACGTCGGGCTCCCTGCGTGAGCCTGCTTCTCCCTCTGCCTGTGTCCTCTGCCTCTCTGTGTCTCTGTGTGTCTCATGAATGAATGAATGAATGAATGAATAAAGTCTGAAAACAGAAGAAAAGAAAACAGACTCGGGCCGCCTCACAACGCTCTCCTGCGGCAGGAGGCAACTTGTCCTAAGCGACCGTGATTCAGGATGCAGTGGCCCTGAGTGTCCCAGACCCCGCGGCAAGCAAGGGGGGAAGGTGAGGAGGGCAGAAGCCCCCAGGAAGAGAAAGCAGGGGACGGCATCAGGGGAGAGAGATCTCGGTCACCGTCTCGAAGACGGAAAGCACACAAGGAAATGACCAGGGGTCAGGCGGCGTGGGGACAGCGGCCCAGGGCTCCCGCACGCGACACTGCAGACGACCTGAGGCCGGAGCCACTCCGAGACCCTGCCCACCTGGGCCTCGGCGGCCACCCGGGGCCGCAGGACGCACCGAGGGCCAGGCCAGGGGACGCCCTGCGGCACCACCACGTCCAGACCAGGCGGGACGCTATTGCGGTTGCAGGGCAGACGGTAGGCGCCACTGCGGGATGAAGACGGCGGGACAAAGGGGGGGGGCAGGTGCCACTGACCTGGCCACCTCGCGAGGCGGGGTGCGAGAGGACGCTGTGCCGTGAGTGCGGTGAGAATCGAGGAAATGATGGTATCATTTGTCTCTTTGTTTAAAAAGATTTTTAAAGATTTTATTTCTTCATTTCAGAGAGAGAGAGAGAGAGAGAGAGAGCGCGCGCACAAGCAGGGGGAGCAGGAGCAGGAGAGGGAGAAGCAGGCCCCCTGCGGGGAGCCCGATGCGGGACTCGATCCCGGGACCCGGGGTCACGGCCTGAGCCGAAGGCAGGCGCTCAACCGCTGAGCCACTCAGGCGCCGCCTTTTAAAATTTTTTTTAGAAGATTAATTTGCCTTCCAGAAAGAGAAAGCACGAGCAGGGAGAGGGGCAGAGGCAGGGGGAGCGAGAATCTGGAAGCAGACCCCCGCTGAGCGTGGAGCCCGACGCAGGCCTTGATCCCATGACCCTGGAGCACGACCGGAGCCGAGAGCAAGACTCGGATGCGGAACCGACCGAGCCACCCATGCGCCCAGGAATGGTATAACTGAAAGCACAAATTCTACATGCGCAGCTCGCAGATGTTTTGACCTCGTACTTTTGTTTAGTAAAAACCGGAAGATTCCGAGCTCTCTGTAGACGTTTCGGAAGACCTGGCGCTGCTCACCTGGCTGTGGAAGGCTGGGCCAGGCCGAGGAGGGGCCGCGCCCCACAGATGGCCACGCGCTCCGCTCACTTCCTGCTCGCTGCTGGGGAGGCCAAGTGTCACCTGCTGACTCCCCTGTACCTCAGGTGTTCCATTACACACAAATGGCATCACGCACCTGCTCCACGTACGTTACATTAAATGCGCCTCTGGGTGACTTTTTAAAAACCATGTACGTGGGCAGCCCGGGTGGCTCGGTGGTTTAGCGCCGCCTTCGGCCCAGGGCGTGATCCTGGGGTCCCGAGATCAAGTCCTGCATCGGGATCCCTGAGTGGAGCCTGCTTCTCCCTCTGCCTGTGTCTCTGCCTCTCTCTCTGTCATGAATAAATAAATAAAATCTTTAAAAAATTAAAATAAAAATAAAAAACCATGTATGTGATATAAACGTGCAGGCCCTTGAATAGCTGAGAACAATTTGAAAAGGAAGAAAGTAAGAGGAGTCAGTCTGCAGACTTTCAGGACTTATGTAGTTGCAAGTAATCAAGACACACAGACCAGTGGAACATCAGAGAACCCAGAAACAGCCCCACACAGATACGTCCAGGTGACCTTGACAAAGGAGCAAAAACAGTTTGATGGAGGAAGAGTCTTTTCAACAAATGGTGCTGGAGCAATCAGACATATAGGGACAAAAAAAGGGAAAAATTTCACTGGCCTGAACCTTACACCTTTACAATGGATCCTGGACTTAAACATAAAGTGTAAAACTCTAACACTTTTTTGGAAAACAACACAGGAGACCACCACCGCGATTTAGGGCTAGACAACCTGACACCAGAAGCAGGATCCATCAAAGGAAAAATTGATAACCTGGACCTCTTAAAAATCATAAACTTCTGCTCTGTGAACACCTGTGCGAAGAGGATAAAAAGACACAGACTGGGAGGAAACGTTGACAAACCCTGCATCCAACAAAAGACTAGCATCTAAAATAAATAAATATATAATAAATAATTTTTAAAAATTAAAAAAAATAAAGAAGACTAGCATCTAGAATATATAAAGAAGGCTCAATGCTCAACACTAAAAAGCGTCTACTTCGACATGTCAAACGCACATCACACTGTATGCTAACTGGAATTCAAACAGGAAACTTGAAGAAAAGAAAACCTATAGAGAACGCACTGACAGTCACCGGAGGGAAGGTGGGGGTGGCTCTGGGCGAGGTGGGTGACGGGGATGCAGGAGGGCAGCTGCTGCGACGAGCACAGGGTGATGCACGACGCGTTCCCTCGGGACATGTACACCTGAAGACAATATCACACTGTACGTCAGCTAAGTGGAATCTAGA